AAGGTCTCCTGGACTGCGAGAGGGCGCAGGCTGAGCTGAAGGTTTCCACCCCCCCTCCGAAGTGCACGAATCTCGTGCACTGGGCCTCTAGTTCTGTATAAAATTCTCTTGCTCCCTCTTGGTGAGGTCAGTGGGGGTGCCATGTCACTCTGAAGCAAACTTTTATAAGCTGTCCTGGTGCAGGTCCCAAAGCAGTAAATAAATTTTGCTATTGGGTAAGGCAAGTGTACCAGTGTGTGCAGCTAATGTGCAGAGTTGCACTTCCTGCCTCCTACTCATCTGGGTCTGATGTGGGCTGTTGGCTTCTCCATAGAGAGCTTGGGTTCTATATCATTGTCTTATGTCCATTTGCTGTATTTTAAAGAGAGCCCTGACTCCTCTCTGCAGATTTCATCAGTGGGCATTGTATCAGTATGCGCAGTTTAAAACATTCATTTATTCAAGTTTATTTTACTCAGCTAACTGTTAATTTGTTTCCGCTGCATTGGGGGTAATCTATCCCCAGGTCTTTCAGTGTTGTCTTGAATAATTGAGAGCATTCTGGTACACAGCCACATTGCTACAGAAGCTGCTGCTAAGCCTCCAAGAGGCTCCCTCACTTGAGTGAGATTGAAATTGATTCCAGCTGGCTAGAGAAAAAATACACGAAGGTTGTAATAGACCCTTAGGAAGGAAATCTGTTTCCACCAAGACAGAAGCATGATTCATATGTAAGGAATACAAATTAACGCTTCCTTCCAGTCGTTGGAGTGTGTCTAATTTTTCAAGTAACATTATTTTACTTCTTATTTCATTAACTTCTTAATCTTTACCCGAGGGTATGTTTTTATTGATTTGACAGAGAGAGAGAGAGAGAGAGAGAGAGAGAGAGAGAGAGAGAGAGAGAGATAAGAGTGAAACATTGATCAACTGCCTCCCATACACGCCCTGACCAGGGATGAACCTGCTCTGACCAGAAATTGAACCCTCAGCCTTTTGATGTACAGGACAATGCTCCAACCAACAGAGCCACCTGGCCAGGCCTTATTTCATTAATTTTTTTTAAAAGAAATTATTGTTGCAATTATTACAGATGTCCCTCTTTTTTTCCCCCATTGCCCCCCTCCACCTGGTTCCCACCCTGTCCCGTGCCTTCGCTATCCATTTGTCTGTGTCCATAGGTTATGCATATAAGATCGTTGTTTAATCTCTTTCCACTCCCTCCACCCCCTTCCCTCTGAGAATCATCAGTCTGTTCCATTGCCATGCCTCTGATTCTATTTTATTCACCAGTTTACTCTGTACATTAGATTTCTTATTCATTTATTTTGATTTTTAGATTCAATTGTTGATAGGTATGTATTTGTTGACATTTTGTTGTTATTTTTGATCTTTTTCATTTTCTGCTTCCTTTTCTTAAAGAATACCCTTCAACATTTCATGTAATACTAGTTTGGTAG